AACTATTGTACGGATCCTGATTTGATGCTCGAACTAAAAAAATTTCTAATTTAGTTCCTAAAGTTTCTAAATTTGACCATAAGCTGGTCATTTCTTAAAAAACAGTTAATGTGTTTTGTTATTAATAGAATATGTGATTGTTAAGTAATAGTTTTTTACTATTAAGTAACAAACACGTTAGTTATTTTTTAATAGAAAAACTATCTTAGGATCAAATTTAAAAACTTTAAGATCCAAATTAATTTTCGTTTTTAGTTCAAAATTCAAATCGGGAATACATACAATAGTTGAGACATCAAATTTGGAAATTAACCTTAATTATTTTATTATCAGTTGTATTTAATATTCAAATTAAAATAAGTCAGCAGGGAAAACCAAAACATGCTTCAATTCCTCCAATCTTTCTTATTGGACCGAATTAATTATCGCCCAAATTGAATCCAGGCCATGTAGCCCATGATCCACTTAATGGACAAAATGGCCCTTTTTGTTTATTTTTCGAAATTACTATTTTGCAGTCAACCAGTCGCACAGATTACACATTTTACATTTTTGTAGTTATTTTATTTATATACAAAATGGATTATGCAATATATATATATATTTTTTCATTGTATAATTAAATATAATCATCTCTAATCTCTTATTACATTCATCTATATGTTATGCAACTCGAATTTAAAATATTTTATTTTTAATAAAAAAAATAATTACTAAGCTTTTTCGATTATATAATATTTTTATAGTTATTGATGGAGAAATCATTCCAATAATTACGAGCTGCCCTTATCAATTATTACAAAATGTATAGTACATAGCTTTTTACTTATTTTTAATTTACATTTTCTAAAAAGTAAAATGACAAACCTGTCCCTATCTTCTTCCCCATAAGGCAGATTGCTTGCTCTGCCTTTGTTACCATTTTTATGGCATCTCCTCTCTCCCGAATTCTTCTTGATTATGATGAGGCAGTTATGAACTTATTGTTGCGGTTATTATAATTCTTGCTACTGACTTTGAATTCAAGGAGATTCATAATTTTTTCAGAATTTCAAAGGAAAGGTG